GGTTATGTACAAGATAGGGACTGTAGGTTTGTTCTTAAGTTGAATCTGTATGTAAGTCGGACCGGGCACCCAGATCCAGCCGCTGCTGAAACTGATCAGCAGCTGATTCCAGGAAGCCCGGGGCAGAACAGCTCTGCCTCGGGCTTCCTATAGTCAGCCGCTGGTCAGTTTCAGCAGCGGCTGAATCTGGGCGCCAGTTCCGACTTACATACAAATTCAACTTAAGAACAAACCTACAGTCCCTATCTTGTACGTAACCTGGGGACTGCCTGTACCTCCTTTTTTGAGGTATAAAGGATCTTACGCAAAACGGCTTTTTTGCGCAAAACGGCCCTATCTGCACTGCTTGTTTTTACGCAAAAAGCATCGGCAGAGAATATGCAAATGAGAGCGCGACAAATGCTAATGAGTGCTTCATTTGCACTGTCTCTGCCGACAAAAGGCTTCGGTGTAGACGTAGCCTCAATGACAGAGCCCCGTGGCTTCACTCAGCGGTGCCACAGAGAGATCCGTGTGAGACTGGGTGGGTCCCTGACTTGGAAGCGCTTCCCGGGGTGGAGAGCTGTAGAGGGCTGCTTGCTAATGGCAATTTGAAACATCAGCCATGTTGCCTGACTTCAGGGCAAAAGGACTCGTTAGATATTAGCTGGGTATGTCCATGTCCCAGCTCAGTTCATGCTCTGAGTTGTAGATTCTCTTGCATCTCCCAATACCCTCAGCCCCATGTCCCGGCTGCCTCAGGCCATGCGACCTCTTGAATTGCCTGTCTCCTCAGCAGAGAGAGAAACAGTGCAGCCTCTTTTCCCCTCCCCATCACTCCCCCTTTGCCAGCACAGCCAGCGAGTGTGACTAGCTGAGGGTACGTCTACACTACAGCGCTAATTCAAACTAACTTAATTCGAATTACTTAATTTGAACTAAGCTAATTTGAACTAGTGCATCTAGACTAAAAAATTAGTTCGAATTAGCGTTTTGCTAATTCAAACTAGCATGTCCACACTGAGTGGACCCTGAACCGGGGTTAAGGATGGCCGGAAGCAGTGCCGGCAGGGCATCAGATTAGGACTTAGAGTGTGGAGCTGCTGCCTCAGGCTAGCCGAGGGCTCTGCTTAAAGGGACCCGACCCCCACCCTGGACAGACAGTTCTCAGAGGTTCCCCGCTTGCAAAGCAGTCCTGGCTTGGAGTGCCCTGAGTGCCCACACTGGGCACATCACAGCACTTGGCTGCACTTGAAGCAGCCTGCCATTTGGGGGGGGGTCAATCAAGGGGCTTCAGGAGAGCTTCCACCCCGAGAAGCCCGCAAAGCCACCCCAGTCCTCCCCATTGGGGGCTCGTACCCCATTCCTCCCTCCCCTCCTTCCACTTACCCTTCCCTAGCCCCCCTTCCTGATGTACAAAATAAAGGACATGTGTGTTCAAAAATAGAAACTCTCTTTATTGATCAAAACTCGGGGAGACTGGGAAAAGGAGGTGGGAGAGGGGAAGAGAGAGGCTGGGAGAGGGGAGGGCAACTACAATATCAGGGGTTTGGAACAGGTTCCATATGAAGAGAGGCTAACGAGACTGGGACTTTTCAGCTTAGAAAAGAGGAGACTGAGGGGGATATGATAGAGGTCTATAAAAGCATGAGTGGTGTGGAGAGGGTGCATAAAGAAAAGTTCTTCATTAGTTCCCATAATAGAAGGACTAGAGGACACCAAATGAAATGACTGGGTAGCAGGCTTCAAACTAATAACAGAAAGTTCTTCTTCACAAAGCAAATAGTCAACCTGTGGAACTCCTTGCTGCAGGAGGCTGTGAAGGCTAGAACTAGAACAGAGTTTAAAGAGAAGTTAGATAAATTAATAGAGGTTGGGTCCATGGAGTGCTATTAGCCAGGGGGTAGAAATGGTGTCCCTGGCCTCTGTTTGTGGAAGGCTGGAGATGGATGGCACGAGACAAATGGCTTGGTTATTGTCTTCGGTCCATCCCCTCCAGGGCCCCTAGTGTTGGCCGCTGTCGGCAGACAGGCTACTGAGCTAGATGGACCTTTGGTCTGACCCAGTACGGCCATTCTAAGCTCAGGGCTCAGGGTCGGGGGGCTCAGTGGACCACCTTGATTTTCATGCACACCTGCTCCTGGGTGGCCAGGCTGGCAGCTCTCCTGCCCTAGACGGCCACTTTCCTGTGCCTAGTGCGGAGGTCGTGGATGAGGTCCACGATCTCTGCACTAGACCAGGCGGGCGCCCGCCTCTTGCGCACCCGGGCAGGCTCCCGGGAGCCGCCAGCCTGGTCCCGGGAAGAGGCGGAGGGCTGGGTGGCAGCGGGGGGCTGGCGCGAGCCGTGCCAGGTGCAGGGTCTGCTGGCTGGGTGCTGGCAGGCTTGCACCTGGCACGGACACCGTAGCCAGCCCGTGCCCCTTTAAGGGCTCCGGGGCTGGGAGGGGGGCAGACGAGTTTCCCTGCTGGTGCCCAGAGTGGCCACCAGGGAAAGCTGGGGAGGGCTAGCCTCCCACTAGTTCGAATTAAGGGGCTACCCAGCCCTTAATTCGAACTAGCTAATTCGAACTAGGCGTTAGTCCTCGTAAAATGAGGTTTACCTAGTTCGAATTAAGCGCTCCGCTAGTTCGAATTAAGTTCGAACTAGCGGAGCGCTAGTGTAGCGCCTATCAAAGTTAATTCGAACTAACGTCTGTTAGTTCGAATTAACTTTGTAGTGTAGACATACCCTGAGGCTCCCCAAATGGCTCAACATTGCACCTGTCTGAATACTGGTGCTGGGTGGCAGGTTTTGGGCAATACTTGGGGGGTTTGAGGAAATATGCAGATCTGGGTCGACCAAAACACTGGGTGGAATTCGCCGTTTCCGTTGTTTGTCAGGAAAACAACCCAAACCTGCTCTTTCGAGATGAACCTCAATGTTATTCAATTCAAGAAAGAAAACGAGTTAAAACCCCTCAAATTAAATGAACTTTGTTGAATCCAAAGTAATCTTGAGGGGTGGAGTGTGGTGGCCAAAGCGAAGAATGGGTTATTCACACAGCTCTACCATCGCCCTGTAACTTACCCTTTGCAGCCTGACTCTAAGCATCCGTAGGCCCCACTGGAGCCAGTAGGAGTGAGTGCTCAGCGCCTCTCAGGATTAGACCCATAAAGCGCAATGTCTGTTGGGATGAGCTTTTAGCTGGGGAGGTCTATGCCCCCTCGTTCTTTGTGATCTCTTCTGCTGCCCTTCCCAGGCCAACGCTGGCACCGGACCCGACCACCTGTATTCAAATCAGCACTACTACCTTTGCTCCATTTCCCCTTTCTCTCCTGGCAGGGACTGTCTGGTAAACCTGGCTTGGAAGGACTGCAAGGACCTGTTGGGATGTATGTAAGTGCTCCCCATGCCCAGCTGTTCCTAGAGCAGAATGAGGCCCCATAACAAGCAGACAGCTACAGGAAAACTTATTGGGCAGAGGTGGAGGGAGGGTGAGCTTGGAAAAACAAGCAGTCCAGACGGAGGCCCCAAGGCACCCGGCATGTCCAGCATTCTGTGTAAGGAATTCACACAGCTGCAGGCCCAGCACCGTAGGCTACCCTGGGTATTTCCCTGGAATTTCCTCTGTGCTGGGAACAGGGCACACATCCAGGAGAATGACTGGCTCGTAAGCCAGTTTTCCAACCCCGGCCAATTGCCCTCCTACTTGAGTGGCAGAATTTATTCCCCTCCTCTCGGAATCCCAGCCCCAAGGATGGTCTCACCAGAAGATGTTTGGTGACTTCTGCCTTGTTGCATGGAGGAAATGGGGCTCCTGTTTCTATGAGGTTTGGAAGCCACCATGTTGCACTGTGTAACTCTCGGTCCTGATCTCCAGATTCAAGTGAGACGGGTGGTTGGTGCCTTCGCCTACAGCCTCTTTCCCCATTCAGCGGGCACGAGGTCTCGCCTTCTGCTCTGGCATAATGGGCGCTGTCTGTCCTACTGAGCCCCTCTCTGCCTAGCTGTGTGTCGTTTGAATAAGGAGGGTGATGCTCCGGACAAGCACGTCCCATTCTGGGGGGTGTCTGGTTTTGAAATGCCCATTGGCAGTGCTCTCATGAGGTTCTCCTGACCCGGTGGGAAGGGGACAGGGATAACTGTGAGGAGAAGCCAACTAGACATGGCACTGCTGGCCAGTGTGGCTGGGGGGCCACAAGACCCTCATTTGTAGGAGGCCAGTAAGGTTAGTTGAAAGGGAAGGGGGCTCATTTGAGGGAGCCAAATAAACAGAGAGAGATGTGGGAAACCTGGACCTGCATGATGGTCTCCTCGTCTTCTGGATGTCAGACGCAAGCACCACCGTCCATGAGCTGCTAGCTTCCTCCGCTTCCTAGCTGTCGCTGAGAGAGAACACAATGTGCCCACCTGAACTGACCAGTATCAATGGATTTCTCTGCCCCAGGGCTACCCAGGACTGGTTGGGGACCGAGGAAAGCCAGGACCCATGGGTGGAAAGGTAGGACTGCAGAAGAACTCCAGAGATGAAGATCATTGGGAACTCGGGGGTGACCTGCGAAGAGCTTTTTGTTCCCCATTTACTGAGGTGGTAACTGTGGGGAGGGATGGCTCAGTGGTTTGAGCATTGGCCTGCTAAACCCAGAGTTGTGAGTTCAATCCTTGTGGAGGCCATTTAGAGATTTGGGGTAAAAAATTTGTCAGGGATGGTACTTGGTCCTGCTGTGAAGGCAGGGGACTGGACTCAATGACCTTTCAAGATCCCTTCCAGTTCTAGGGGATAGGCAATTTCCAATGCTAGGAGCTGGGTGTAGGAGTGGCCTGTGTAGGGTGTGACTGTACTGCTCTTCCAGTCTCTCTGGCTTCTTTTGTGCCAGCCCATCCCTGTTCCAGTCACTTCCTGACAGACCAACATTGAATTGGAAAGGTCATGGGGGTGGGTTAGAACTCCGAGGGGCACTGGCTATGCGATGATACAGCTAGAGTGAGAGCAAAACGAACACACAGAAATCCTGCTACATCCGTTCATCAGCCCAGAAACAGAGAGAGGCTCAGAGTTGCGATGGTCCCAACGAATTTTGGGCTTCTTTGAAATGTAGGCATTTGCATTTCCAGTGCCTGGGGTTTGACTTCTTATAAGGACCTGTTCAAAAGATGGGACGCCAGATTGAAATGTGGGGTGTTGACTCTGGCCTAGCTCAGATCAGCCTGGCACACTTTTGTCTGTGAAGTTGCCCTTCAGTACATCACCAGGCTCCAACTTTGTCTCCACCAACACGTCAGTAGAATTCACCTAGAGAACTGGTCAGAAAATTCGCAGACTCCCTCCCTCACCCCTCCACTCCCTGTCCAACACATTATCAATAAACTACAGCCTATATTGGAACAGGATACCATACTCAAAGAGGCTCTGGGAGACAGACCCATAGTCTCCTATAGACACCCACCTAACCTCAAGATGATTCTTACCAACCACCACAGGACATACCACACTAATACCAACCCTGGTACCTTCCCTTGCAACAAACCCCGTTGCCAGCTTTGTCCACATATTCATTCTGCTGATACCATTATTGGACCTAACCAAGTGAGCTATAAGATCAAGAACACATATTCCTGCGCATCCAGAAATATAATCTATGCTATCATGTGCCGAAAGTGTCCGTCTGCTATGTACATTGGACAAACATCTCAGACACTTTGCCAAAGGATTAATGCCCACAAAACAGATATCAGACAAGATCACAAAGAGAAAACAGTTTCTTGCCACTTTAACCAGAAAGGACACTCTCTAAATGACTTAGCCACCTGCATTCTGCTACAAAGACCTTTTACATCTGCACTTGAAAGGGAATCCTCTGAACTGTCATTCATGTTAAAATTCGACACTTACCAACAGGGACTTAACAAGTCTTTGAACTTTCTCACCCATTACCAAGACAGTTTCCCCAATTATCACCTGTAATACCATTAACTCACAAACATCCCACTCTCCCTACCTTTAATATCAGCAATTCACAGACACTTACCTTCCTTCCTCCCCCTTCCCACCCCCCCGCATCCCCCTTCTGTTCTGCAATGTGATTTGTCCTTTTCATATTTGTTCATTTTTTTAAATTCTATCCTTTGGTATATATGGTTGTGACTACTTTCTTCCACTATTTGATCTGAGGAAGTGGGTCTGGCCCACGAAAGCTCATCATCTAATAAACCATCTTGTTAGTCTTTAAAGTGCTATATTGTCCTGCATTTTGCTTCAACTACCCCAGACTAACACGGCTACATTTCTATCACCCTCCACTCCCGCTATTTTCTGACCCGCTCTCCTTAACCTTAGTCACCCGTATGGGGCGGTGGCGGTGGCTGCTGCTGTTCCCGGGCGTTCTGCTGAAGAACCGAACACAGACGAGCTTCTCTCTGCTCCTTCTTTCAGGGAGAGCCCGGAGTCCGAGGCCCACGAGGATTTCCAGGCAAAGACGGTCCCAAAGTGAGCATCGTTCCCTGCCTCTCGGTAGAACCAACCTGTAGCGCACCAGGCCCGATCTGTTTTCTGTGGGCACTGGTAGCTCTGAGGAGATCTCCATGCCCAGAGGTTAAATGAAACCGGAGGCGGACGTGCTTAGCCTGAGCCTCTGTGGTGAGAAGCTGAAAGGTCTGATCCTTGTCTCTCTCCTCACGCAGGGTCCCCCAGGCCCACCTGGTGCGAAAGGCCCCCCCGGCCCACAGGTATGTCCTGTCCTGTCTTTCCTTTCTGGACACATGGTGAGATGCTGTGGGCACTGCCAGGGCTAGGCCGGTTTTGCCAGTTCATTTAACACTGGGGTGAGAGCCTGGGGCAGGGCCAGGGCTCTTGACAAGGGTGTGGCTGTGCTGTTCCAGGGCTGTGGCCCTTGTGACTCCCAGCACAGTGGTGAGCAAAGCATCTCAGTGCCAGCCTCCGCGGTCAGGCCGGTGAGGAGGAGGGTGGAGGCTGGATGTGCCCCTCTCTGGTTTCCAGGGTTACCGTGCCACAGCTAGGACAGTCCAGCCGTGGAACGTGGCCAGAGGCGTTTCCGTCCCCACCTGTGCAACCTGGACCACGGCCCAGCCAGGGGCAGCAGAGGAGCCCTCTGAGAGGCTGGGTCCGAGTCGGGGACGTTGGGTCTGCCTGGCGCAATGAGAGACAAAACAAGGGGCCTCCCGTCTCGACTACAGCCTGGGTCCACCTCCCTCACGACAGGCCGTGTTATGGCTGCTCCTGGGGAGGAGCAGCTACAAGGGGCTGAGCAAATCTGCTTCAGTGGGAAGCTGCTGCCCCCTAACAGGAGCTGGCTTGCTGCCCCCCTTCCACCTCCAGGCATTAGCCAGTTCTCAAGAGCCCCGGGGGCTGCCACAAGGCAAAGGCAACGCCCACAGAATTCCCCAGGCTCTCCCCGTTTTGGCCGGCTCCGCGCAGAGGCCGGCGCTGTGACAGGAACGCTGGGCTTCCTTCCTGAGCCCAGGGAATAAGTCGGTGCCAGTTAATCTGTGGCAGCGCTTTAGCTGCGCCCGTTCTGCACCAGCAGCATCTCTCTGGAAGGGGAGCGTCTGTCTAATTCCGCTGACTCGAGACAAGCGTTTGCTTTCCCGTCTGCTGATCTGATTTGCTGCTGCCGCACTGTGTGAGCTTCCTGAGGACGCGCACGGCACCAGTCCAGTCACATAGGCTGACGGGGGCGGGGTGGGACTGGGGCAGGCCGGTGAGGCAGGCGTAGTGCCGGGGTGGGAGGGTTGCCCCCAACAGGCAGTAAGGAAGGTGGGGCGGGAAAGGGACTTCTCTTCCCTCTCCCCTCTATAGGACAGAGTGGGACAAAATGCCTGTCCCTCTGTGTTCTCTTTAGTCCCCACATCTCCAAACTACCCCTGGACGCCCCTCACGCCCTCATTCACCAAGTGACTCCATTCAGCCTACTTCTCTCCCAGCTCAAATCTTCCTCAAGGCTCATCAGCTCCCTCCACCCCACCCCACTGCAGCTCAGACAGCCCCTCGCAGTCTGAGAACTGCTCATGTTACTACATAACTTCTCCTCAGCTCTGAACACTCCTCCGCCCGGCACCCCGTGCCGCCCCCTCCCCCCCCGTTATCTGCACACACACCACTTGCAGCTCAGAGAGCCTCCCGCCCTTTCTCCTCCACTTGTGGGGAGCACGGGCCTGGAAGAGACCCTGTATTTTGTGTGAAGTAGGATAACAAGTGAAGAGATGCTCTCGTCTCTTTGCAAACACAGGCGAGCCCTGGGACACGGCATTTATGTGCTTGTGGGAGACGGTCTCTGTTTTGGTGGCACCATGTGAAATAAACTGTGATCTGTTTGCATTATGGAGAATGT